GTCACACCTTTTTCACATCTTGGTGAAGACTATACCTGGTACAGAAGTGGTGCGGTCTACCCTCGTATAATCCTCTTATTAGAGTTTCACATCTTTTGGATGTCCTTCAGATGCTTCTACTTTCTCCCTCGCACCGGCCTCTCCATCTATTCAGTGTTGGATTCTAGCTATGTAAGTGAACAGAAGTAAGGTACCTTATTGGAACTTATAATTTTTTTACACTGAAACTGTATTTCCATCAGGTACTCACTTCTCACACTTCCCACCCTTCCTCCCCAGTGTCAACTGATGCTTACGTCTCTGCCTAAACTCTAAGTGATAGTTAGGTAGAATAGCATAGAGGAAGTCACGTAGGTTTCTGGCATAACTATTGGTGGAGGATTGTTGCATGATAATTTGCATACGAGAATCAGTTAAACCATGTGAATCAGGGGTTGTATGGGAGTGAAAGGCTTGTTTCATGCCAAAACATTTTGCAAATAGAGGGCAGCACTGAACGAGAATAGCTATGTATGTGAGTGGAAGTACCTGTCAGAAATACATTTTCAGTGTAGGAAAATTATAACTTTAGATCATTTGATTTCATGTTCTTTAATGATGACATTTTGAAAAAAATTTTGGAGCCTGAAAGTAAGCCAGTAATGAATTTTTGTAAAATTCACTATATGTTTTTTTTTCATTTTTCAGATAGTTTAGCTATAGAAAATATTTGTCAACATTATTTTTAATCTATTTACTCTATTAATGATATGTATCAATGTATTTCTATCTGTTTATAGTAATCCAAATCTGTTAAATTTATTATTGATAGTTTTTGATGGAACTGTAATTGATTCTTCAATGAGAAGAAGGGTAGCAGAAAAATCCAACCTCGATATTAGTGAAGGTATGATAGCATAATCATTTCTATTGCTTTGTCCTAATAAGCTAGCTCAGGATATTAAAAAAAGTATTAATTATAGCCTGTAGTTGTTATCCTCTTAGAATATTCTAAATTCATAAAAACTTCAACAGCACTGATAGAGGATATTTTGAAATTATTGATAGCAGAACTATGACTTTTTAGTGGATGTTTTAGCCAAAAAAAGGATAAGTATCACATGATACAGCTTTTGAATGATTTGTGAATTAACCATAACTGTAAAATGGATTTTTTGTGTTTTTTAATAATACTGAATAAGATATACTTTAACTATCCCCATTTGTCATACTTAATAATAAATATAAAAAGCCATATTTCTTTATACTGTTACGTCTCCGTTTGTTAATTAACTTTCCGTAACTTCGTTCTGACGAAACTTTAGCGACACAAGTCCTTACTTAATAAAACTGGTTTATTCTTTCCGAATACAACTTTACGATACACTTATTTTCAACAATCGCGCTAAAACATACGCTATATCAACGAACGTCAATAATACTTCTGACTGCAGTTCAATTACTCACTATCTTCACACACACAATACATTATTCTCCCGTCACGTTGTCACCCTCCTTGTATATACCCGACTACCCTATATCTAGTAAATACTAGACCATTCGCCAAGGTACCGGATAGTTCTAGAAACGTGGCGTCACAGTAGTCATGTGACTCGCTGACGCAACAATACTGATTAGTTGGACTTCAATTAAAAGTTATGCCAAAACAACTTTAACAAATAAGTATTCTGGTCCTCAGTGAAAACAAGTTCAATAAATACATTTTCTGGACCTCCATTAAAAGTTCTATATATATATAAAACAAGTTCATCAAATAAGCATTCTGGAGCTTAATATTCTGCCAAAACAAGTAAATATTCTGACTTCAGTTATAAGTTACTAGCTGAGTAACCCGGCATTGCATTGTGAAAATTTAGATTTGAAATGTATAGATCAGTATTTTTTCAGCAAATTATTCAGTAAATAGACAAAAGTTGTGATGCGAGAAATAAAAAAGCATTTAATCAAACAAAGCTTTATTTGAAATTAGATCGTATTTGAGCTTGTTTTGTTCTTTGAGCCTGAAGTCGTACATAATGTTGCTCCTCTTTTTCTTGCTTTCTGTAAGTTATTTGTCTTAATTTTTGTGCTTGTCTGGTTCGACGTTGTTCAGAAGTTTCTTGCTGTCTATATCCAGCTTGCCTTGATAATTCTGACTGAACTCTGGCTTTGTGCTGTTCAACAGTTTATTGCTGTCTTTGAGTAGCCTGCCTTTCAGCTTGAGCTCGAAGTCTAACTTTACGTTGTTCCAAAGTCTCTTCCTGTATTTGAGCAGTCTGTCTTGCAGATTGTTCTTGAAGTCTTTCATTACGTTATTCTTCTGTTTTAGCTGCTCTTTGTGCTTTCATTCTTTTAGCGGCAGAAGACTTTCC